CTTCTGCGGCTGGTCCTGTCACTAGCTCTTCTCCCTGTGGGCAGCCAGCTGCCAGGCCGTTTTCAATGCCTGTCTAGCCTGATTACTGCTCAGCTGTCTCTGCTGCTCTCTAATTCGTGTAACCGGCTCAGCCCGTTCTTAAGTTGGCAGGAAGAGACCACGGCAGGAGAACCCTTCCGCTGACATAGTGTTGCAACTGAAGGGCAGCAGGATGGCGTCCCCTCCCAGATACAAAGCGAGTCTGGTCAGAATGCTTAGCTAGAGAGAAAAGCGTTTTTGTAGCAATCGCAGCCACACACAGGCATGGAGGTTCTTCAGACGTTGATCACAACGATATCACCTGTACACATGTCATGGCAATCCCTCTACGAGGTCACCAGGGCACATGTTCCCTCTCTGGGTAGAAGAAGAAGATGCATTGTTCTTTAGAGTTCAGTGAGGCCCAAAGTAATGATAGATCAAGTACAATGATTTGGAATTGTCTGGCCAAGGCTGCACCGTCAGAAGTCAGCACACTCAGTAGAGATCTTAGGGCACTTCCTCAAGGCATTCAAGGAGAGTTCAAAATGGTCTGTGTGTCCTAAGCATAGTCAGGCTATGTGGCTGACAGTCCATTTCTTGAAGGCAGCCAGAGCAGCAAGGTTAGTAGGAGCAGATTAGGTAGTCAGATTGCCTCTTCCTAAATAGCTTTGCTCATCTCCAAGCAACTCATCAGGAGTGTTTGCTATGTTGACAACAAGATCTTAAAGACTCTAGCATGAACACCAATAGTCATTTTTTAACAGATTTCAATGACGTTTTAACAATGTTTAACACCCGCCCAGTGCCAAAGTGAACACTGGGCTCCCCTTAACCATCTCAGCGTGATAAAATGTCCTGTATTCTTCTACTGATGTATTCTGACCATGCTGACCGTAACCTCTGGAGCACGTTTTGTCAGATGTCATTGGTTAAGTGTTCATGATAGGCATAGAGAAATCAGGCGGCATTATTGTGACTGGAAGGAGAAGGTTCCACCGTGGAATGCTTGTCTATTATTCACAAACTCTCGTCCCACATCCGAGACAACAAAAACTGAGAGAAAAAAGTTATTAGGCAGTGGCCATAGTAATTCGTTTTTAAAATGTATTTATTTTCTTCTTCTCTCATATATTCCATCCTGACCACAGTTTCCCCTTCCTCCTCTCCTCTCAGCCCCTCCCCAACAACCTCCCTTCTCCCCCCATATCCACTTCTCTTCCTTTTCCCTTCAGAGATGAGTCAGCCTCCCAGGGATATCAACCAAACATGGCACGCAAGTTACATAAGATTAGGCACGTACCTCATATCAAGGCTGAATGAGGCAATCCAGTAGGAGGAAAAGGTTCCCAAAAGCCGGCAAAAGAGACAAAGACAGCCCCCCACTCCCACTGTTAGGAGTCCCACAGGTACTTGAAACAACACAACGATAACATATACACAGAGGACCTAGGTCAAACCCAAATTGGCTCCCTGGTTGTTGCTTTAGTTTCTGTGAGACCCTATGAGTCCTGGTTAGTCTGTGGGTTATGTTCTCCTGGTGTCCTTGACCCCTCTGACTCCTACAATTCTTCTGCGGAATTTCCAGAGTTCAGCCTAATGTTTGGCTGTGGGTCTCTGCATTTCCTCCCATCTGGTGATGATTATGCTAGGCACCAGTCTATGTGTATACTAGAGTATCATTAGGAATCATTTCATTGACTTTTTTTTTTTTTTTTTTTTGCCAGTCTAGTTTGGTTCTATCCTAGGTCTCTGGTCTCTGGAACATCCAGCCTCTGGCTACTGGCCATCCAGGTGTGTCAGGCGTCAGCTCCCTCTTGTGGCATGGGTCTCACGTTAGGTCATCGGTTGAGCACTCCCACAAGATCTGTGCCACCTGCTACCTTTATCCCAGCACATCTTGCAGGCAGGACAAAGTGTGGGTAGAAGGCTTTGTGGCTGGATTGGTGTCCCAGTCCCTCAGTGGAAGCCTTGCCTGGTTCCAGAAGATGGCTAGTTCAGGCTCCTTACCCCCCCTCCCCCATCACTAGACAACTCCCCTAGGGTCACCCTCGTAGATTCTAGGGAGTTTTCATTTCACTAGGTTTCTACCTCATCTCCCAAATGCCCCCCAATTCCAGTAGTCTCTCCCAGTTCTCACTTCCTCCATCCCTCCCCCAAGCCTGATCCCTTCTGTTCCCATCCCTACCTGTCTCCAGTCCATCCAAGATGACAAAGATAATGATAGTAATAGCTAAGTAACTAATTAGATAAATGAAATAAAGTTAAAAATGAAAGGTTGAAGTTAAGGACTGACTCCCTAAAGTTATCCTCTGACTTCTACATGTGAACCATGCCTACACACACACACACACACACACACACACACACACACACCTATACATACAAAACTTAGTCCAAATATTTGTTCGTGCTATTATATTTGAAGAATGCTCTATAAGTTGTTATAAAGGCTGCCAAATGGATGGCTTTTCTGTTTCTGTCAGCTATCTAGATCCTCCCTCCCCAGGTTTTAAATATACACAGAGTTAACTGGCAAACCGCCTTCCCTAAAAATAACTCTGTTCCCCTTCCCGAGAATTTACGTGCTGTGGTTGCAGAAAGACAGGGGTTCTTCAGGTTCTTGACTAACGACATTCCACAGGGACTTTGCACGACTCTCTCAAATGCAGGGCAGCAGTGGGAATGAACATTCGTCTGGAAATCATTGCAAATTTGGTGGTCAATAACAATATCCTTTAAAAAGAACATTTTTTTTTTGACAATTGAGTATTAATGTGTCTAAAAACTTGACTTGGAAGTATGTGGCTTTTGGGACAGCCTTTGCTCTCAGTTTATGCCAGCCCTCATTACTGATGCTGAGACAGGATGCAGGGACTCTAACTCCCGGATAGCCAGCTGCTCTTCCTAAGCACCCACTTTCTCCAGATAACATCGAGGAGGGATAAATGTGAGCCCTTTATTTTTGATAAGGAAATATGTCAAAGGTGCTTTGAAAACATGGCCCAGGAGCAGCAGCAAGAGCAGGAAAGAATTTGGGCTGTCAACGGCAGGGCTGGGTGGAACCAGCTTATGGGCTCCATGACTATGAGCATGCCAGGACAGATGGTTCCCTGCTATCCAGGCTTGAAGGGCCAGGAGACATTACTAAAGTGAGGGTCCTGAAGACTTTTCCGCTCCTCTAACTCTGGTTTCTTGCTCTGGAAAGGGGGGTCTTTGAGGAATGGCGGCAACATTAGATGCACAGCCCTCTAACAAACTAGGTTCCTCTTTCTACAGACTTAGAGGATGGAACAAGAGTCCCCAACTGCAGTCACGCAGAAAGGCTTCCTTTTTCTACAGGGGAAGTGATTTGAGTTTGGAGTGGGATCTCTTGGAGGTAGTGAATTCCTTCTAGCACAAACTGAAGAACTTCTGAAGGTGTGCGTTCATGGGCGTGAATGTAAACACGGAATCCCTTAAGCTCTGTATTAGTGGATTATATAATGCTGGTTATTATACCAGGCAGTGCCTTGTCTAAAACCAGGATTTGCCGTTCCACCCAACAGATGTCCAGACTTTAGGTTCTACTCCAATGTGTGGTTTGTGGCTCTCTAAATTTCATATAAGTTAGACTGAAATTGAGAAAGAGCTGGGACATCGGTACAAACCCGAAATATGTCTCCAGATGTTAATATTCATTACCACTGGCAAACCCGGTCACTTCACCTGTTTCTTAGACTGTCCAGGAGTCCTCTGACCGGGGCCCTATAACCCCACCTCTTATTAAGAATTTTTCACAAGGGATATTCATGATTTATTGGGGTGCGTCTTTGGAAAACACAGGCTATAAGCAAGCCAACTAATGTTCCAAAAATGCCCCAACAAGGGAATGTCTTCCTTGGGTATTTGTTGATAGTTTAACTGACTTATCAACCGAGACTTTCCCTGAGGCCTGCTGCATGGAGAAGGAACAAAATTCCTTTTCTAAACCAGGAATATACTTGGCTGAGCCAGTAGTGGCTTAGGTCCAGGGCCCTGGGGGAGTTGTAGTTTTAGATCCAGAGAACCCAATTCCTCCCACAGTGTGGACCACCTGGTTATCAGTTCCAAGGCCACTGTGTGCTTGGTCTGTAAGGTTCTTGAGATACCCTGTGTTCCTTTTGTGCAACACGTTTGATTATCTTCCTGCTGACTTTGCCCCACTTTGGGATAGCTCCTTCCGACAACCCATTTCTGCCCTGGAAAAGTATATATGATGCTTTGCTTTTTAAATAAGCTTTCATGACATAAGATGTAGCTTGTACAAAACTTCCTGATCCCAGACTTTCTTATCTTCCCTCTCTAGCCTCTTGGGGCCGGAATTACAGGTGGTAGTGAGCTACCTGCTGCCGTCTCTGGGAACCGAACTCTGATCCTCTGCAACAGCTGTGTACACTCTTCATTTCTGAGCTGTCCCTCCGGCATGGGGGAGCGCTCCTGGGATCTGATGCCCTCTTCCAGACCCATGGCCACCGGCACTCACATGCATAATTAAAATTAAACCTTAAAAAGTATAAGGAGAGCTCTTTTCCCAGTCATCTACTGCTGGGCTGCAGGCCACTGCTTAGGAGCAAGGCTGCAACCATGACACCCTTTCTATCTTTTCATTGGATTTGGTATCATAGGTGCTTCTTGATAGTTGAATATCCTTTAACGATAACGACTGCAAGCTGTAGAAGGGCCCATCTCTCGGAGCTGTGTTTCCAGTTCTCAGTGTGTCACTGGGCACGTCGGGAATGTGTTTCATGTTTGCCAAGAACACAAGGCGATGAAATCCTTTTCTAGAGAATGCTATCATGGAAACAACTAGAGGCTTGCCAATGCAAATGAAGACACATTCATTTAATAATCTGGAACTGCTCTCAGACACGCAAGCGGACATCGCTGGAATCGACACGGCAACATTTCTTGGGATAAAGAGCAAAATGTAAAGTCGGAACAACAAAATGGCCAAAGGAGAGGGACGTGTAAGCTGTGCATTCTCATACAACGGGATGTTATACAACAAGTCTGCATTAAGAAGGAAAACACCCCGAATGTTTACATCTCACAACTATAATGCTTCTATGAAAACGTAAGTAGTATCGGTATGCAATGTAGTAAATTTTATAGTGGCTAAGAAAACCTACATAAGAATACCTTATATTACTTAAGGATCTCTCTCTCTCTCTCTCTCTCTCTCTCTCTCTCTCTCTCTCACACACACACACACACACACACACTAATTGAGGAGGAGGAGAGAATAAGCATCCAATTTAAGAAGACAGTTTAGTCATGGTCGACAGTCACAGGAGAAACCGGGAGAAGATTCCTTTCTCGTCTGTTGCTTACATGACATGACTTGTTTGGAATTATGTCACGCATAACAACTGTGTGGCACATACTTAAACGGAAAGCCATAACAGTGAAAAGCAGAGAGGACAAGAGAAGAAACTGAATTCGGCCAGTTTCTACTAAAGCAGGGTTTCTTCTAGCTGTCACGAACAAAGCCAAAGTTGTCCTTTGGACCTCAGCAAGCACACGTTCACTTCCTTCCTGTTTCTCTGGGAGATTCTGCAAGTAAACGTGTTATAGTTTCACATTTTCATTTTTAAAGTTTTCATCAGTTCTGTGTTAATTGTTTACATTACTGGGATTCGGCTCACACTGATGAAATCCAGCCTCCTCTTACAGGCTCCTTCCGTCTACCCAGAAGTCACATTCTTTTTGTGTAACTTCCATATTGACTGAAGTTTAGCACCTATTTCTTCCATTTCTTATTTTGCTTAACACCATGTTGTTTATGGAAAAACACACAATCCTCACTTTTATTCCGTATTCCAAGTCCAGATGTTGATTCTTAAACAAACAAACAAAACTTGTTAGACACGGAGATCATCCCGGAAACGTAAGTCTCGGGTGGTACTTCTGGCAAGGCACAGGGCTTGGCACCTGCTCACCTTAACTCTATGAGCTTGGGACAGCTCACAGAAAACAGACTTTGTGATTTTTTTTGAGTGTCCCACTGTCCCTAACTCCACAAAGACCACTTAAGAATGCCCGACTAAGAAGCTGGTGGGCTGATTACATTTGCTGTCTTTTTCCTCTTATCAGTGCCGTGTGTGTGTGTGTGTGTGTGTGTGTGTGTGTGTGTTTGTGTGTGTGTGTTGGGGGGTGTCCCCAGTGCCTTGGGACAACAGGTGCCGGTGAGCAGCGCTTTAAGGCGAGTTTAGACAGGAGCAGTTCTCAACCTGTGGGAAGTCTGCTTTACAGAACTTCTAGCACGACGTCAGAGGGTTCATGCCATTCCACAGAAGCCATGTGGAACGGCTTCTTCTACTTCTGGGATAGTCCTTATTAGGGCAGTGCTGCGCATGTGAGAACCACTCAAACGGGCTTGGAAAGAAAAGCTTTTCTTTTTTTTCTTTCTAGCGACCATCTGGAGCAGATTTAAGCCAACATTCCTGACAGATGAAAGTGTTAGCTTGGAATCAGGCAATTAAACGACTGAACATCTCTCTAGGGCTGGGTTCTTTCTGTCCTGCTCCACTTCGGAAAGGTGAGTCTGCTCCGCCCGAGGCGAAGAGGTGATGCCGGGGCTGCGGAATATGGCGACAGACCACGATCGGGTCCCTGGAGGGGTTCCCGCTCTGCTCCAAGAGGCCCTGCGCTCTGCGACCCCATAGGCAGGTGGAGTGCCCTCCCTTCCCCCTCTCCCCCTCCCGCACGCCTCTTGGGGGCAGAGCCCGCGATCCTATTGGGGCGATTTGGCGACTGTCCCCGCCCAGGGGACTGAACGTGTACTAGGGTCTTCAGGCTTGGGTCATTCTCTCCGCTTCCTACCCGCCCTGCCCAGATGGACCTGCGGATCACTGCTTGGCCAGCGGGACTCTGGGGTTTCCGGAAAGCTCCGCGGACACAGGCGGATCTCAGGCTTACGCTGGGCGGGTCCACAGCTTGCTCTCGCTGCCTATGGATGGCTCTAAGTGGCAGAACGATGCCACTAAATCTCCCACCAGTTGCCTCCACAGGCCAGTCTGAGCTTCCTGAATTCTGAAAGCTGGCACAGAAAAGTGCTATGGAATGAGGGTGGGGACAGGCCCGCCTGGAGGGCTGGGTTCTCAGAAATCTGAGCTTTGATGTTTGCGGGAAGGTGCGCCCAGCTCAGCTGCACCCCTTATTTCTCCCATCATTTTCTTTTCCCCCTGTAGCCTCAAACGGGAATGCTGTCCTTGATGCTCTGTGGGGTGTCTTTCGCGCTTCCCCTTTTTGTGAAAGCAGGTACGTTCTGTGAGTCCTCGGGTCCCAGAGGCCTGTCAACTTGTGGGCGACATTCTTTGTCACTGTCTCCAGGCCTCTGACCTACCTTCAGGGCATCAGCTAAGCCCCAGCCTTGCTAATCACTCTTCCCCCCAGATAATCTGGTAGGAAGAGTCCAAAAAATCTGGTAGAAAAAGTTTATTTCCAAGTTCTTGGAGGCTCAATCCCAAATGTCACCTTGGAACCTTGGACTAACTTAGGTGATATGGAGAAGTCCACAAATACTTGTGGACCCAATTCCAATGCTTACGAGGGTGGGTTACTAGTGGCGTCTATTTCATATAGAGGGTTATTTTATAGTAAAAAGTTACCAGAGACAGAACAAATATCTAAGAAAAACTAACTAGGTAGAAATGGGCTTTAAAAGAAAGGTGTCTTTAAAACCGTCCTCTGTGAGATGAGGATGGCACTTATTCAAGTCAGTAACAGACTGAAAGAAAGTACAGGAAGAAAAAATGACCGGTGGGGAGGGGGCTGGTGCTAGGGAGGAGGGTGGCTAACCAAGGGTGGAAGAATAAAGGCAAAGGGATGCCGTGGTTTTGTGGAGGGGCTTGTGGAAGGCCTGTCTTCGTGGTACATTTGAAGGCCTTAACATTCTGCTTCTAAACATCTGAGTTAGTTTTGGGAAACTCCCAAATGAAAATTCACATTACCCAGAACAAGATGTTTTCTAAAATGAATCACGACACCAGTTTTCTTTTATGGTATTTCTTCAGCATTCCTTTCTTTCCCTAGGCACGTGTAAGGATGCGGATATGCATCCTGAGGTCATTTCTGAGGGGCGGCCTTTTGCTTTCAATTGTACATACCCTTCAGTAACAAATGGAGCAGTCAATGTGACATGGCACAAAGTACCCAACCAAAGCCCAGTATCCAAAAACAGACAGCTTAGGAATCACCAGGACCAGACCTGGATCTTGTTCCTTCCCTTGGAAGAGGGGGACTCGGGCATCTACCAGTGTGTTATCCGGTGAGTCCCTCATCAAAAGGAGAACCAGTTCAATTCACAAGCTTCTCTCTCCATTTCCATTTACATCCGTTAAGAAAGTGGGTATCATTAACCTTTGTTTTTGAGACATGTTAGATAGCCTAGACCAGTTTCCAACTTACCTAAGCCCCTAAAAGAACTAAAATGACAGATGCAAGCCACCACAACCCACACGAATATGTATCCAGGCAAAGTACATTGAGGCAAAAAATGCAGGATGACTTCCAACTCCCAGCGAGCACATTTGAAAGCAGAACAGATTTATGGATCAGTTTTGGAGCGCAAGTTGCATCAATTCATTGAAATGATGTTTCAAGCCAGCCCCGTTTATAATGTGCGCTTGTATCAATATTATCACTGCATTGCCCCAGAATGCCGGATGTTTTAGGACAACTGGCAGATCCAGATCACAACGCACCCCCTTCAAAAACTTTTTGTAAGGGACCTGCTTAAAGCTGGCATTCAAAAGGCAGAAAGCCTGGGAGATGTCAGTGAAGCCCACCTGTAAACCACATTTGACCAGAGAGTTCTAATTCTGTGACTCCCACGATAGCTTGCTTGACCACAAAAAAACTAAGCGATCTCTCCAAACCTTGTGTTTCCCGCCTATAGATTGGGCATGCTCCATATGCCTTTAATCTCCGTTAATCTGATGTCCACACCGTTGTCATTTTTAAGGACCACAGATGGCCATTTTATATCTCATCATTCCTCTGATTTATCAGATGCTTCTTTATGAGTGTAGGTGACTTTGGGGGCTGCAATGAGTGCATGCAGTGTGAACATTGTCTAAGTCTTTTCAAAGAAACGGTGCCAGAGACCCATGGTGTTCACTGGCTCCTCCTGGGCCACGCTGAATGTGCCGCCACTGTCGGTACTGCACAAACACCCCTTATCCTCGGGTAACGCATGGCTTGTGGGCTATTGTTATTTCATACGATGTCTAGAAAATAATTAGAAAAAATATGAAAATGACTTCTTGAATACTGAGATTCCCTAAGAATTCTTTGGTTCAACTTGCTATTTTCTTATAGGGATGGCCACAGCTGTTACCGAATAGCTGTAAACCTAACCGTTTTTAGAAAACATTGGTGCGAATCTTCTACAGAGAGTCGGATAAGTCCACCGAATGAATATCAACAATTCTTACCCATGGGAAAATCGGGCAGTCTGACGTGCTATCTCGACTTCCCAGACAGTTGTGTTTTGGATTCAATAAAGTGGTATAAGGTAAAAAACAAACAAACCAAAGAACAACAACAGCAAAAAAAAAAAAAAACCCTGATAATTATTTTAAACTTATGGTTGTTATTGTTTTGTAATACTGTTCTAGCTTCTCCCTATCCCCAATTATCCATTTTTTTTTAAGGCTCTTCTTGCTATCTTTTTTCACTCACCTTGGTTTGTTTGAATGACTCTGATGTCCCGGTGCTTTGAAAATTATGAATTATATGAAATCACACCTAGGAAACACTCCCGCCATCCCTGCTCTGTGTTACTGACCACACAAGTTCTCGGAAGCTGGCTACCACTGTCAGTGCCTGTCATAGCCTTGTATAATGCTGTATTTGGAAGTTAGCACTTATATCTTAGCCGCGCCCCGTTGAAATGTGATGTTTCTCATGCGCATCTTCATCTTGCTTTCACTCCCACCTTGGCTTTGTCTTGACAGATGAGCTACTGTTTGACACTGGAGCTCAGGTCCCTTTGCTTGCGTCTTAGTCCCCAGTCTAGCCACTTGGGTCCTGAGCTTCCTTTATGGGTTTTCATCTGTTGATCCCCTCCTATCGCTTGTTCTGTGGTGACAGGATTATTCAAACATCTTATTTTTCTCTTTTCTGGATTTTGGTAGGATTTTGTTTTTTTTAGGGAACAGCATATTTTATTAAAGGTCTCATCAATACTGGCGAACTAGTCATCTCTTTTCTCTGTTGTCTGCTTCAGCGGTGGAGATATTTTAGTTCTCACTCCAGGTTCTAGTCTCTCTCTTATCCTTTCTCACCTTAACCAGGTACAACCACCTTTACACATTGAGGTTTGTCTTTCAAAGCAGAGCCGTTTGTCCTTTCAGAAAGCCTCCTTGGCCTTTTGTGTGTCTTCTCTGTCATGCTTTAAATTCACCTAGGCTCTTTACCTCTTCGTGTGGAACGTGGAAATGAATGTCCTCACCCCTGTCTTATGCACCATTGACAGTGTGACATTCTCCGGGGCGCTTGATCACTGCCCCTCCAGCTGCTTTGTCACTGAGCGCCCTGCTCTTTAGAGCGTTTGCTTTTCAGAATGTGGCAGGCTGCCCTGTTCTGTCTTTACTACATTTCCTGATGACTGATAGTGCGTGTTCCTCTTAAGTTTTCTTGTTATAATTGAATATGCATGTGATGTAGCGTGGTGGTGGTGGTAGCGTGGTGGTGGTGGTGGTGGTGGTGATGATGGTGGTGGTGTTGGTGGTGGTGGTGGTGGTAGCGGTGGTGGTGGTGGTGGTGATGGTGTGTCTGTGTGTGTTTACCCGCTATCGCTATGACATGAATGTTAAGTCAAGACAGCTGGTGGCGCTCAGTTCTTACCATTCACCATGTGGGTCCTGAGGACTGAGCTCGTGTCAGTAGGCTTGGATGTAAGCAGCTTTACCGATAAGTCAGGTCATCAGTCCTTCATTGAGCTTTTCCTTCAAGTGCATAGTGTTAGCTGGGTCCATCCCCCTATGACACGCCTCCTGCAACAAGGCCACACCTCCCAATCTTTCTCAAGAGCATAGTGTTAGCTGGGTCCATCCCCCTATGACACGCCTCCTGCAACAAGGCCACACCTCCCAATCTTTCTCAAGTGCATAGTGTTAGCTGGGTCCATCCCCCTATGACACGCCTCCTGCAACAAGGCCACACCTCCCAATCTTTCTCAACTAATTCCATCACTGGGGACCATGCTTTCAAGCGTATGAGCTTATAGGAGCTCTTTTTATTTAAGCCACCACAAATGACAAGATCACTTTGGGGATCTTACCGTAATCTTCCATTCCTGGAGTCCCTCAGCATGGCGTGTAAACACTATCATCACATTTAACTTGCTAGATTTTTTTTTCTAGAGTTTTGCTTTTGTAACATGCATGCTGCTGTTCTGGGCTCTTGTTACCTGTGTTATAGCTATGTCAGATTTTAATACACGGATTTGTAAAGTCAATAGAGTGAAATTTCAGTTTTCTTTACTCTAGAAATGCTTCAGATTTCTAGAAGAGTCTAGACGGTAACAGACCCATTAACTCTTCTATTACACACTTGTGGACATTAGTAGTGACATCACCCAGGACTTGGACTTCCTCTGAGGACAAGTTTGGAGTGTCATATGCAGCTGTCTTTAATAGCTAAAGAACTCTTCATCCTATAATTCTATGTTCAGTTAGAAATTTTGATTTTGACAGGTTAAGATGATATTACTAAAATATACTTCTATGTTCTTTTCAGTGTTCATAGAATCTAATTTCCCGTGTCTGGTAGCCCCACTTTCTTTTGTGTCTTGGTTCGTTACTCTTGCCAGGAGTTCATCAGTTTTATAGATGTTTTCAAATCCTAACTGCATTCCTTATACATCTGCTCTTATTATTTTGTTCTTGGTTGACGTTATCAAATTCCTAGTTCTCCCCACAACTTAATTTGATTTTGGTTTTAATCTTCTATTATGTTCTGAACACTGAGATAGACTCATCTGTCATTAAGCGTGGGTTTCTTTTTTTTTTTTTTTTTGGTTTTTTTTTTCGAGACAGGGTTTCTCTGTGGTTTTGGAGCCTGTCCTGGAACTAGCTCTTGTAGACCAGGCTGGTCTCGAACTCACAGAGATCCGCCTGCCTCTGCCTCCCGAGTGCTGGGATTAAAGGCGTGCGCCACCACCGCCCGGCTAAGCGCGGGTTTCTAACACACAGATTTAAGAGGTGCCTTCCTTTGAAACTGCATCTCGGTCAACTTCTGCAGGTGTTCATCTCTCGCTCTCAGACCACCCTGCTCAGACCATTTCATTTTCCCTGTGATTTCTTCTTTGGTTCGAGATGTTTTTGAAGGGTTGCTTAATTCACAAATGTCACAGTTTGGGTATTTTTCAAGGTAATATTTCTGATTTTGGGACGGAGTAGTACAACAGAGGGTACGTTCTATACAATTTCAGAACTTTGGAATTAAAGGCTGGCTTTTTGGGCCAGCATATATATGTTCAGCTTCTGCCCATGTTTCTTATGTATTGAAGAGAACACACACACTGACATTGGAGCTCGTGGGGCTGACTTATGCAAGTCAGTGTGCTAATTCTTTCTCCATTCTCTTGTAGTTTAACTAAGACTTGTTAACACAATTTAGTGGGATTATTGATTTTGCTATACTTTCGACTTTATTAATGTTTGTGCTAAACTTTTGCGATATTATTTACAGAAATATGTTACGCTGCTTGGCTTCCTGCTGCAGCGAGATTCTGCCGTGTGCCCTTTTTTCTTGAGATTTGCCTCCCTTTGGTGCTAATACAACAGCAGCAGGTTTTGTGTGGTAGCTAGTGGGATGCTGGCTCTCTTGTATACTTCTTCTGTATTTGTTTACTGTTAGGCCATGATTATTTTAAGTAGCAGGTGTCTAGGCCTCTAAAAGCTCTAGGCTGGATTTTTACTCCTTATGTGTTCTGTGATTCTTTATGTGCTACCTTTGAACCCCTGATGTTGGTGGCTTTCATTTACCATTCTGGTTTAAAAATTATTTCCTTTCTTCTTCTTATTTTTTAAACCCAAGCATTTGTTATTCATCTTTATATTTTACGAATTTCCTAGTGGATATCTTCAATAATTATTGGCTGGTTACTTCATCTACAGTCAGCCTTGAATTATTGCTCGATATGAAATAGTATTTTTATCACCTTCTGAGGAAATGAATGACTGCCAATATTTAACCCCTCTCTAGAAGAGTTTTGGTTTATATGCTACCGTAGCTGGTGCTTTTAATTTCCTGGTCATTTAAACAGCAATATTATACCTAATCAATATTCTTCTAGAATTTCTCCACACATTGAATTTTTTTTCATGTTTAGTCTAATCAGTATCTTTGAGCTCATGTGATCTCTGGAATCATCTTTCAAAGATTTATTTTTCATTTCTGTGTGTCAGGATTTTGACTGTATGTATATATACCACCTACAGTGACCATAGAGACCAGAAAAGAGCATCAGTTCCCCTGGAACTGCAGCTACAAATGATGTGTGTATTCACCTGCAGGAGCTGGGAACTGAACCAGGTCCCCCGAAACAGCAACAGGTGGTCTTAACCCTTACACAGAGCTGTGTCTCCAACCCCTAGAATAATTATTTATAATATATAAGTATCCAACTAACATCTCATGAATTTTCTTAGTGTGAGTTATCTCATTTTCTGAAAATGTTCTTTTATTATTATTATTATTATTATTATTATTATTATTATTATATTCTTCATGGATTGGCATTTATTTTCACTCTGCAGCTTGAACATATTATTCAATGGTTTTTAAATACAGTATTTTTCACACTCCATGGACAGGGTCACCTTTCTTATTCTTGTCTTTCAGCCATTTTTGAAGCGATAGGCCTCAATCTCTGAATTCCTTGGAAATGTTCTCCTTGATTTTGGAGTTTAGTAGTGCGACTCTGGGGAGCTGAGACAGAGATTGCTCATCTCTTCAGCACATGCCTTTTGAAATTATAGCTATTATGCATTTTCTCCATTGTTTCTTAGTTACTAGTTCCTTCAGTAGTCTCTTAACTTACTTTCTGTCTGTCTCCTTTGGGACTCTAACTAGATGTCTGTTTAACCCTTTTGTTTTTAATGTGTTTTTCTACATCTCACGTGCATTTTCCCGTTCTCAGTTGCTTTGTGTGAACGTGCTTCCGTGGGCAAGTCTTCCTGGCGTGCTCCCTAGAATGCTCCATTTATTCTCAGCTGTGTGAAACCTTCCATTGACCTCACTGGCTCGCTTCAGCGTAACTATTGTCATTTTCAATTCCCTATGCAATGCTTTTCTTTTTCCATTTTGCATGTGTGTGGGTGCACATGGGCAGGCGTGCAATTGTGTGCAGGGTGTTGGTGTCAAGAAGCATCCTCCTCCGCTCTTCTACGGTAGTCAATGAGGGAGGGTCTTTTAATCAAACCCGGCACTTACCTATGTGGCGAACCTTGCTATTGAGCCGCCTGGGAAAGATTCCCTGTCTGGAATGACAGGCCACGGTGGCCACACCCACCTGGCATGTAGATGGTTTTCTGTAGATCCAAATTCTGGCTCTCAAGCTTACACAGCAAGCACTCTAACTACTGATCCAGCTACACAGCCCCAACTCTGTGATTTGTATTTGCCCTTTTTCATATGTGGCTAAGCTTCTCAATGCCGCTGTTAGATCAGTCAAATTAAACACCTCTACTCTGAAGTCTCTGTTACTGGTTTTCCTTCCTCTTTTCCACATCTCTTCATTCAGATCAAGTGCAGGCCATGGAACTTCCCTGTTTCAAATTTAAACTGCATTACTGGCTTTTGCTTTTTTCTTGCTGTCACGTATTTCTGCCTTGCTTTGGCAACAGTATCTAACAGCTTCCTGGTCTTCAGGAATGGCTCGTTGGAACCCTCAGAAATCGATGTTACCGTCTTCTTCTCTTGCCAGCAGCATTTCAGCTAGTCTTTTTTTTTTTTTTTTCCCTCACTTTCGGTGATCAGATTCCTACCCCTCTCACCGATTTTGTCTTCAGCAGACTTTTATATTCAGAGCATATTAGTTAGACTTTTACGGGACATTTGGCACCTGTGAAGTATTGCACGTGCTGAGCCAGGAGTAGAAAGTGCATTTGCATGCATGTTGGTCAATTTTGTATTCTCATGGTTAACATTATCCTATAAAGTATGACTAGATAGGACTTCTCCATTTACATGACCCCCTAGAGCTTAGGTTATTTACAACCTGCATGAGTTAAAGGCATTAAAGATGTCCTTGGAGGTGGTAAGATGTGTTGGTGTCAAATAAGGGAGGGAAAATTCAGCACCTTACCATTGGATTAGTGTGACCAAGAGCAAATCCAAGTTTGAATTCTCTTTTCTCCCTGTGTCTTCTGTCTGTCTTTGTGGTTTTGGTGTTGTCATTAGTCTGTTTGTTGTTGAGTCTGAATCTGTCCTTGTGTCTGTGCCTATCTATGCCTGGTTGATGTCTTTCTGTCTCTTGCTGTCTGTCTCCAACAAAGGCCCTTACTCTGTATTGATTGAACACATGGGAAAGGAGGGATGGATACTTAACAAGAATCCTTATCAGTTTTACAAGGGATTAGGTCACTGACTCCAGCTCACCCCAGAGGATTCAGCACTGGGACATTCATTCCATTATCAACTTGTGCCTGCTGCATGCTGCTTCCAGTTTTTATGCTAAGTATTTATTGTATAAGACCTCTTTACACACTTCCAGCATTTGCTACCATGACATGCATACATGCATGCATTCCTCTCTGGGCCAGGGGTGTGGAAGAGCACATAATTTGAAATTACAACTATGCATTAGCTTATGTTGTAAAAGCTGATACATGGGTAAACCAAGGCAAGTAAGGTTGGTTGTTACGTTGTTCTAAAGGTAGGTTAAGCAAACAGGCCGAAGACACAGCAAGGCATCAGGTTAACACTTAAGCGATCTTAAGGTGTGTTAGTACCTGGGCTGTATGCTTCAAAAAAGTTCCTGTCTCTTAGAATACAAGATACATTTTTATAATAATGTGTTTCCATAACAATCTAACTGGAAAACAATAGATGGCTGCTATTGTTATTACTTATACTTTAAATCTTGATAGTGAGATATCCCCCCTGAAATTAAAAAAAAAAATCAAACCAGAAGAAGGTCTGCATACTTTAGGAAACTGGGGAAAAGGCACTGTTAGTCACTGTAAGGGGGCAAGAGGACCCTCACACAGCCAGGTTAAGGGTTAATGTGAATGATGGAAAAAAGAACGACTCAGAAGGCAGAGTGCTCAACCATGAAGCCCAGCGCAGATTGTGCCTAGTCGGGGACTCTCCAGCCAAGTCTACACAGGAAAGAGATTTTTGAAGTCCAAGCATTCAAAATTTGTGACTCTGTACTCTGAAAAAGTAGACCACAAAATTCACATAACAGCAAACTAAAGACAAGCCCCAAACCACAACCTATAGGCAGAAGACACAGGGAGAGAAGAGGAGAATTCAAACTTGAGTTTTTTCTTGGTCAAATTAATCCACGGGTAATTGTTAAATTTTTTTCATTAGTATAACACTGATACATTTCAGTGCTTCTGAGGTTAGCTTTAATGTGTCTAATAGATGTAGGTTATCAATAATCTAAGCTCTATGGGATCATTTAAATGTGGGTGTCTTATTCCCTGGCCCCATTTTATAGGATATTATTAACTATGAAAACACCCAGCATCCCCCAACACTCATTCGAATGCCTTTTGTTTCAAGGTACCAATTGTATTATGAGGGGCTGTTGCTTTTATTTATCCAGTCCCTAATAGTTGCTCCCATCTATCAGTGAACAATTGTCAAATGACAACTGGAATTTCCTTACAGAGTATCTATTGGAGCAATGTAAGAAATCTAGGAAGAGATGTTGCACATTGTAAATAAGCGTATGCTTATTCTGACATTATTTATTGAATTTTAGGTGCAAAGTAGATTCATTTTCCTTGTTGGGTGGAGAATAAGGACGGACTCATCTGTGCCTGGTTAAGTCTGGAGAGAATGTAACACCAAGTTGCTTACATTTTTATTGAACTAGGATTTTATCTATTTTATCTGTTAGACTGTGAGCTTCATGAGGAATGTAGCTGTGTCTAATTCCCCCATGGCTGAAATCTCTCACAGTGCTGGCAAAGATAGAAACTCAAATATCTGAATAAAAGAATGGACTCAATTAGACAACATCCCTTCTGTGGAGTGGGGCTTCTCAAAGGAAGAGGAACAGGCCTGGACAAGAGTCCGGAAGTGGGTTCATGAGGTGAAGGTGATTAACTTGATGAAGTCAGGTTTTGGGAGCAGGGAAGGCAGCTGCCTTGGTAAGATGTTTATCTTAAAAACATGAGGCTCTTGGTTTGATCCTCATAAACACATGTAAAAAAGCTGGAGTTGGTGCTGTACCAGAGACTGGCAGATTCCTGGGGTTTGTTGGCTAGCCTGTTAAGTCGGTGACTGTCTCCAAAAACAAGGTAGACAGCAGCACAAGGAAGATCTCTCTCTCTCTCTCTCTCTCTCTCTCTCTCTCTCTCTCTCTCTCACACACACACACACACACACACACACACACACACACGAGAGAGAGAGAGAGAGAGAGAGAGAGAGAGAGAGAGAGAGAGAGAGAGAGAGAGAGGGAGAGGAGGGAGAGAGGGAGGGAGGGAGGGAGGAAGGGAGGGAGGGAGGGAGGGAAGGAAAGTGGCTAAGTGATGAGTGTCCACCCCTTTCTTTCTCTATGTTGACTGTCAACTTGATTTGATGGAGGAGTGCTTAAGAATTGGAAGAACACCCCTGGGTGTGTCTGTCAGGGCATTTCCAGTGAAGATTAATTAAGAGGAAAATACCTGCCCTGGATGTGGGTGGTTCCATCCCATAGGCTGTGTTCCAGATGAAATAAACAAAAAAAGAGAAAGCAAACATCCTGGTTACTTCCTGAACTCACAGTATATTCTCTAGGGCTCTTCCACACACTTCTCAACATGAAGGAGTAAAACTACAAGAACATTAAATGTCTTAAGTTGTTTATGTCAAGTGTTTTTGTCAGTGATTGACATCTGTTTGTTCACTAATTCCACTTATCTATTCGTCTTTCCATCTGTCTGTCTATCCATCCTTCCTCCATCCATCCACCTACCCATCCATCTAGCATCTATCTGGCATGTATTATGCATTGTCTTCTGGTTAGATCGTTAATATCTAAGGTTTAGACTGTAGGTGCCCATGTGAATATGGAAGTTATGTCTACCTGTAGCTCCTAAAATAATGCTAACTAATGAAGTGACTAGCGTTTCCCAGTACTCATTCAATTCTTGTGGGTGTGTCTTTAGGGTTGTGAAGAACTTAAAGCAGGGAAGCAGTATATTCTTTCAGGACGAAAGCTTTTCGTGAACAGCGTCACAGCAGAGGATGGCGGGAGCTATGCGTGCACGGCCAGACTCACTCACTTGGGGAGAGAGTTCACGGTTCGAAATTACATCTCTGTGAGCATCAGTAAGTTTACTCAAGTATGGTTGTCTGGTTCTCAGCTTCATGGGGGCTGAATGGCTTCAGGCTTCAGGATATTGGTTTTATTGAAGGGTACTAGACCCTCTAACATGTCCCCATTGGATCAAAGCACCAGAGAGTGAGACAAGGGGGCAAGCAGCTTAGTTCTCCCAACTTTAAAGATGGAATGTTCAGAACTCTTGGAGAGCATCGAAAGAGATTGTGTAATAGGGGAGTTCCCTGGGTGCTTAGCAAAGTGTAGGCGTCCACGGTAGACAGTGTTACTATTACCCTCGTCTCCCTGTCTGTCGTCCTCACTCTTGTGTGGTTGGAGGATGACCTTTCCAGGCGTGGTACTACCTCCTGGTTTCAGCTTTATATTCAGGGTCTCTGGATGTGTTTCCCAGATAACCAACTGCTTGTGTGGTGTCAGGGCTCAAGATAGAGGAGTCAGTCCTTCTGGAAGCAGCCATGCTAGGTGCTATTTCACTGGCACCTAGTTTCCTGGGACGTATGGTGATCTGCAGACTGTAAAGCAGCCACTTAGATTAGACCAAAAAAAAAAAAAGCCTCAAATATTCAGGTAAAAAAGCCAGCATATTCTTGTAGAGCTCCAGGAAAGCAGTAACTTCTCAACATTCCCAGGGATGGCTAGAACCATAATTAGGGTCAGAATTGTGACCATATGTGTCCAGGTAAATACTTTTCTTTCTGTACACATTGAATGAATAATTTGTCCCTATGGGTATTTTTTTCCTTTATGGCTGTCATATTTGTTATGGTTTTTCAGATTTAGATTAATTTTCTATGTAAGGGGATCTGCCTGGATACATGTCTGAGCACCATTTGCGTGCCTTGTAACCAAGGAGGCCAGAAGAGGTGTCAGAGCCCATGGAACTAGAGTTACATCTGTTGTGAGCCAACACGTGGGTGCTTGCATGATGATAGGCAGAAAAGAGTTCAAAGACAGATAGAATGACCAGCGTATATACAGATAAGAGACTAAAAAGCTGTGGAGACCCAAGAACAAGAGGAGCCATGTTGTGAATGAGGGTTGGGAAACAGGCAAGTTGGCCTGGGTTGATAAGATCATAACAGGTGGTGAAGTTAGAGAATCAGTCAGGGGTGAGGAGTGGGTGGAACTTGAGTTCCAAATATGGCAGTGTGGATTTTTTTTTCTTCTCAGAACAATGGTAAAGAGGCAGCGGGGCTGACTCCATGAGAACAGCTTAGGGTGCTTTTCACGTCTGAAATGAAATGGCCACCCTGCCGATGCTCCCTCTGGGAACAGGATGGTGGTTATGAGGCAGGTGCCAAAGTACAGGTGGGATGCCACACAGGCACCATGGTAACATGGACGGTTGGGAGATGCGCACACATCCACAGCATCTCCAAAAAGGGAAGATACACCTCTCGGAGTTAACTGAGCAGGGAGGAAGGAAGGAGGCATGGATTCTAGGCCTCTGAGCATGTGCTGCTGAGTGGAAGGTGACATTAATCATGAAACAAGACAGCTCAAGGAGAAAACGGGTGTAGGAGAGATATGGTTTTTAAGCAAGTTGAGCATGAAGCATGCAAGAGGAGAAATGGAATCGGCCATAACCTCTGCGGCTCTGGAACTCAGAGGGATGTCCTGGAGTTAAGACTTCCTGGGCATTGGACTTTAGATGTTAATTCAAGATGTGAGTGGCTAAACTGGTCTAACAAGACTAGAGAACAGACAGGGAATTGGTGATTCTGAAGTGAAGATGGAGGCCCAGGCTTCGGAAAGTTAGGAGGGAGCATGTGTTGGGCTGGGTGGTGAAGAATTTGAAGAGGAGCATGAGAAAACTGTTGACTAGAATGACCTCCGGATTTGACATATGTGTGATCTAGTAGGTGGCATCATTGGTTGGTGACAACTGCTACTCATGAGTAACGAAGTGAAGAGCTTTGCAGAATGCAGCCACACTGTGGTCATCCCAAATGTCACACTCCTGGGTTTTAACTCTTCTTGACCAATGTTTATGGGGTCTTCTCTCGAAGCACTACTGGCATTGCATTAGGTTTCTGGGGGAATGTATCTTTTTTTTTTTCTTCTAATGCGTAGTTCTTGTGGGCGTGATTTCTTCTTAGAGGAACCTGCGTCTGGATTAAGGATTCCTCATATCTCATATCCAAAAAACAACACCATCGAAGTTCAACCTGGTAAGTAAAGCTGTCAGAACCCTCCTGGTTACCATGGGTAGAGGTCACTGCTCTACTTGTTTCAGTTGATGCATTAAATGTTCAAGGTGGAGACAACCCTGGTACATGTCTGATTTCCAAGTCTGGGTGTGCCTGGGCTCAATGGGAGGTGCACCAAAGTGTTGGGCTAGAGAGATAGCTCAGCAGGTAAAGGGATGAATGAGCATGGAGACCAGCATTTGACTCCCAAAACCCATGTGAAGAAAGCAGGTTATCTATGGTGGCACATGCTCATAGGAAAGGCATAAACATGAACTTGCCTAGGCTTACTGGTCGACCCGCTGAGCTTATTTGGTTAAGTTCTAGACTAAAGACTCTGACTCAAAAAAAAAAAAAGGTTCACACCTGACCTTCACATACACATACACACACACACATCCCCACACGCATATGAACTTACCTGAACACATACCACCTGTATGCAAACGTACACACAAATGCACACAAGAGATGCAGGGGAATTGAAGTTTCTAAGAAGGAGAGTAAACATAATGATGCTGAAGGATCTTTGGACATCTACTTAGCTATTCTAAGAAAATTATCTAAAATGCCACAATCACTTGTAGTTTTTTTAAAAGACTATTCTAATATAATAAAAACTTTTTAGTTTCACTAGTTTGAAACACTAGTGTAGTATCTTGATATTAACATGTTCTGTTAATGATTCCACCAGGCTGTTTTCCTCTGGGATACAGGGACTACAGAAAATTACATGTCAGCAACTGTCTGTCCTATTGGGTGCTCTCAGCATCACCCACCTCTGAGGTACCGAGAACATTTTCCCAAGAATATTTATATAACTAAGTTGATATCAAGATAGATGTTAAGGCAAAAGCATTATTAGAGGCCAGTAGAAATGTAGTGATCAAATTTCAATTTTGAATCTATAAATACATAATATGATAACATGGCCTTTAAAACTTGTATGTTCAGAGGAACAGTGTTCAATAGTCAAGTACTGAACTTTTTATAGGTGTTTCTAATGGATTTTTAAAACATCAGATTAATTTGTCCTCTTCTTTAGCTTTTTAACAGTTTCTTGGTTTTTTTAAGAGTCAACGAATTTTAAATGAGAAAGAACTAGATTGGGAGACTAATAATACCTAATTAAGAGGCTAACGAATTTATACACTCTATAGCTCTATAGCGGATACAAGGAAAGACTATAGAAGTGGAAGATCGACTCTCACACACCATTCTTTTGGATTTTGATAAAGACACTACAGAAAAAGAGATAAATTATAGTCTTAAGGGAGAGAGAGAGAGAGAGAGAGAGAGAGAGAGAGAGAGAGAGAATCCCAGGCTGGCTTTGAACTCCTGATCTTCTTGTCTTCATCTCCCTGAGTAGTGCTGGGATTATAGGGATGTGCTACCATACCAGGATACCAGGCTGGGAAATTAAAAATGTTTGGATAAATAGTACCTGTTTATTAGATATAATATAGAATAAAAGGAAATTTGACCTCTCCTTCACATCATATAAAAATAATCCTGGGTGAACTGTAGACCTGAATATGATAGTCAAAACATAGGAAAACAACCTCATGATTCTGAAGTAATAAAGGATATTTTAAAATTTGAAACAAGCAAAACCTTAGTTCTAAAGGGAAAACGTATAATAAGAGTCTGTTAAAAATAAATTTCCATCTATTAAAAGACAATATTAAAAGTATAAAAAACTTTGGAGCCGAACAAAATGCCTCTAATAGGTGATCACAGACTCTCCATGCTTGTAAGGAAGACAAGACCTAGCAGAGGAGGGAAATGTTCAGTCAAACCATGCTCAACCAGTACCATGCACGTGACCAGTAAAATACAAGGCAGCTGTTTGCTCATGTGTTTGCTCCCTGTAGAGGAATACAAGTGAAATTCAGAGCATGAGCATCTATAATGAAATGGTCTGACCATTAATACTATTGAGTGTGTAAAGCAACAGGAAGCTTACACAGGGTTGGTAGGGGTGCAGCTTGAATCAACCCTCTAGGAAACAGTCCATGGCAACCTCGTGAAGTTGAGTACTGTATGCAGCCAATATTAATGTTGGAGAAGATACGTGTTCTTATCATGTATCTGGATCATATGCACATATTCATATATATGTATATATACACATATATATGTATATACATACATATATATATATATATATATATGAAATGGGTTCATGTGTGCCTCAGGAAACATACACAGGAGAGTTCCCAGAAGACTCTTCAAGCAAATATCAGAAACACATACAACGCATGTGAGCAGTAGTGATTTTAGGAAAAATAAATAGAGTATGTTCCACTACATAACACATGCAGCAGAACCGATGAGATCCGAAAGTAAATGCTAAGCAACAGAAGCCAGAATCCGGCTATAAACATGCAATCTGTGTAATACAAATGAAGGAAAGAGACTGTGGGAAACTCTGCAGTTCTGGAACTACACTGTTTTCTTCATGGGAGGAAGATGATATGAACGTTAACACCCTATTTAGCTCTACTCTGTCCATGCTTTTTTATGGTATGTGTTATACATCAATTTATACGATAAAATGTAAAATACTACAGAGAATGAAGAACTCCTCTTGGGAGGTGACGTAGGCCTTATTAGACTGAAGAATAAGATAAACTGAAAATGCAGGCTTACTAAATATGATTTAGGATATGTGTGGATAGAGGATAAGGGAAAGAAGAGCATGGGTATAGGGGCCACATCTGTTAAAGTACGGGATCACTGGATTAGGGACTAGGAAACTAGAGTCATGGCTCATGTCTCCCTACAAGGCAAGTGTCACTTAGAGCAAGTCACACCATCTGTCTGAACGTTAAGGCTGTCATCTGTCACAAGGGAGTACCTTCCACTTTCTTTCCTGCCCCATTTCACAGATGCACCATCTTGGGGGTGGGGGATGAGTAGGAAACACCCTGTAGACTTTGAATTTTTGTTACCTAGATTAACAGCCAGGCCGACAGCTTGGGAACCCGTAGCACTTTGACTTAGCGTCTATGAATCTGATTGCTCCAGGCTCCACCCTTATTGTGGACTGCAATATAACAGACACAAAAGAGAACACAAACCTGCGATGCTGGAGAATCAACGGTACCCTGGTGGATGATTACTACAGCGATTCCAGACGCATCCAGGAAGGAATTGAGTAGGTACTGGTTTGGGGGCTTCTCTGAAAGCTAGCAAGGGTTACTCCGTCCATATGAATACACTGCTATCGCTGCTTTTGATGGGCAGTTCCGCCGGCCTTTTCATTTCTCCTCTTGCCTTTGTCTTATAATGACCATTCTGTGTTGTGTGCAGTCAAGCGTCTAGCTCTGACAAATGCAAGGTGCTTATGTTTTCAGCTGAATCAGCATCAGCGACACACAAGCACGAAGAGAGACAGCATCCGTGTGTGTCAACTGCCACTCAAATTCGGCCCGTCGCATTCAGTTCCATTATGAGCTGCTGGCCATGGCGATACTTTGTACTTTAACAAATAAAGTTTGCCTGAAGATCAGAGTGCTGAGCCAGCCACGAGTTAGCCATGGAGGCCAGGCAGTGGGGATGCACACCTTTAATTCCAGCACTCGGGAGGCAGAGGCAGGTAGATCTCTGCGAGTTTAAGACCACCTGGGCTACACAAGACTGATCCAGTCAAAAGCATAAACAGAGCCAGGTGGTGGTGGCTCGCACCTTTAATCCCAGCCCTAGGGAGGTGGAGATGGGAAGTGATATGGCTGGGCAGAGAGAAGAATATACAGCACACACATTAAGATGTAATCTGGGGAAAAAGAAGATGCCCATTGGGGCTGCGCATGGGATGGCAGTCAGCAGCGCCTTACCTTTTTCTGACTGTTCAGATGAAAATAAAAATTTACAATTATAGACTCTGTATATATTGAGTCACTCCAGTAAGTACCTTAGAGTCAAATATGGCCTAGAAGGTTCTCTAGGAAAAGCAAAAAAAAAAACAAAAAAAACCACGCATTCTTTCTAGAAGATAAACTTCACCTTATGTTGGGTAAACTTGGCTCCCCTGTTAATGGCTGACTCTTGCTTTCCAGAACCAACGTTTCTTTGAAGGATCACATTTTTTACACAGTGAATATCACATTCTTAGAAGTAAAAATGGAAGACTACGGCCTTCTTTTCATGTGCCACGCTGGAGTGTCCACAGCCTACATCATGTTGAAACTCCCAGGTAATGTCCCGCGAATCATATGCTGCCCATGGCATTGAAAATGACAGCGGGGGGAAGGCTTACTAAAGAGCAGTGATGTCATCCATTCGGTAGGCGGCAACGGGAGGCACTAAACGGACAACCCAGGGTACCACTTAGAGAAAGATGGTGCTGTTTCTTATGGCTGTCTTGAGATAAAGCTGGGATTCTGTCAGAGTGATTTTGTCTGGGCCATCTTCATAGACATTGAGATTTTATGCATCAAAATGACAGAAAATGGGGTTTTCCTTTTTTAACCAAATTGCTCAATGTTGATAATCAGTTATTTGTGATTTTCAAGTTTCATTTCATCATAATTTTTTATACAAATAAAATGTTTATAATTATTTATTTATTTTTACTGCTTAACTTTGCGACCTTGTCTATAAATCTGATGTCTGAACAAGAGGGCTTCCAACTGCACAGGGCTTTTTTTTTTCTCTTTATCATTTTTAAGGACTGAAAATCTCTTTTAGATCTTGTTCTTTTGCTTTTGTCATCTTTATACATGGACAGGATGTCCTCTCTTATCTGCCTCTTGCTCCTGCTGACAACCTGATGCCTGTCTGGTCCGCCTCCTGTTTTCCTGCTATTTGGATGATTTATCGAGAGAGTGAAGCCAGACGGTAGAGTGCAGGTTAAAAACAGACCTTGAGAGTAACTTGAAAGAGTGTACAAGAGACATTGTAAAATGTCGTCTGTGTGTGTGTGTGTGTGTGTGTGTGTGTGTGTGTAGCTATAGGCATAAGGGAGGACTTGAGTTCACTAGAATATAGTGCTATTCAATTAATCACAAGCCGGGTGATAGTGGCACATGTCTTTAATCCCAGCACTCCGGAGGCAGATGCAGGCAGATCTCTGAGTTCGAGGTCAGCCTGGTCTACAGAGTGAGTTCCAGGACACTCAGGGATACTCAGAGAAACCCTGTCTCTATAAATAAACAAACAAAATATCAATTAATCACATGTATCAAGGTAAAGCCCATCGGACAAGTTTCTGTAGAACTTGATCAACGTGGCTTTGTTACTACTGACTTCTGATCTTGAGGGATGGCCATCCCTTAGAGTAGTTCCATGTAGAGATGGTCTAAGGCAGTGTACTGTTCTGAGTGTGCATGCTTTCTCTCTTGCTTGCATGACCTGGGGCTAGGCTCACTCTGTCCCTAGTTATGCTAAGTGTGACTGGATTTACAGCAACCGCTTCCTTGTCTTGGTCTCTTGGCCTCACAGCTGGGTTGGATGGGAGGAACATTGGGTTCATCTGGGTCCACTGGCTGCTTGTCCTTTGCTGGCTTTCAGTTTTTTTTTTTTGTTTTTTGTTTTTTTGGTTTTTCGAGACAGGGTTTCTCTGTGGCTGTGGAGCCTGTCCTGGAACTAGCTCTGTAGACCAGGCTGGTCTCGAACTCACAGAGATCCGCCTGCCTCTGCCTCCCGAGTGCTGGGATTAAAGGCGTGCGCCACCATCGCCCGGCTGGCTTTCAGTTTTGATCACCTTCCTGCCAGCTAGTCTTCTGTACCAGTCATTCTCTCTGGAGGTTCTGGCAGCCCTATGGGTGCACCTTTTAGTTCTGTTGATTGGGTTGTTTGGTTTTTGATTTTTTAAGTGTATTCTAGATATTAATCCTCCATCAGATGCACAGCCAGAAGAGTTTCTTCTACTCCTCAGACCAGTTTCTTTACTTGACTGTCTCCTCTGTTGTGGAGAACTTTTCAATCTTATGCAATTCCCTTTGTCAACTGTTGGTATTATGTCCTGGACAACTGGGTCCTCTCTGAAAACCCTCGCCTGTCCTCCATCAGTGCTCCTATGCGGTTCTCTAACAGTTTCACAGGGCCAGGCCTTACAGTAAGACCTCTGACCCATTTTCAATTATTTTTGTACATCATGAGAGATAGCAATCTGGCTCCACTCTTCTGAGTGACTTTCCCCAGAGTCCTCTGTTATAGACGTTATTCTCCAAGGTCTGCTTCTGACATCTCTGTCACACATCAGTGGCTATGACTGTGCATATCTGCTTCTGGGTCCTCAGTTCTACCCCCATTCTTCTCTTCTCTCATGTCGGTACCAAGCTGCTAATGCTTTCTACATTAGCCTTTTTAAAATCATTAGAAAAAGCTATCAGTCAATCTTCTTGTTCTATAAATCCAATACCTTCAGTTTAGCTCATGCAACTCACACAGATGACGGTCTCTCAGTCATCATTTTGAATATAATTTCTTTTAAGGTTGAATGCATTGGTTTAGGAATTTTTCTTGGAACTTCTGGTTCATAAAATACTACTATCATTAGTGTCAGCAATGACTGATAATACCACACTGTCTTGAGATGTCTATGAAATGTAGTTCTGTATCTCCATTTCAGGCAACCTTCTGTTAGCCATGGTTTCAACCATCACTCTAAGACAGATGCAAACACATTCCACATATTCAGCTGTGTTCTCTCCTTCTTCATGGCAGCTTTGCCTTTCCTCCCATGTTCTAGTCAAAACTCTATTTAATTTCTTAAACCTTGTTTTCTTACCTTTGCTAAACACACCCCCGTATTTTTCATTATACTTTATACTCAAATTCTGATGTCATCTTGATCCTTTCATTTCCTTATCTCATGGCAACGACTGACACACTTGCCCAGTTTTGTAGTCTCCCTCAGGTCTGCCGGCAACTTCTGCCCCACCTATCCACTCTACTAGCTAGCTAGATGGTGGAGTGCTTCACACCCAGGACTAGGCATAAGTTTCTGTGTTTAAGTCCTGGCTTTAGCATTGGGCATCTGCATGACAACCTAGTATCTGAGTTTGCCTGCCTGTAAGTTGAGAATGATAATAGCACCTTCCACACTACTGTGGGGAAAAAGGCTTGAGAACAAACTGGGATTTTCATCTTTATTGTCAAACATAATATACACAGAAAATGTATGTACCACGTAACAGTTGAACTGCAAATTAAACTCAAGCAAAGTTACCATCCCTGCCTTAGGGACAACAGGTGAAAAGTGTGGGATGGAAAGGCTTCCACGCCCTTCCTGGCCAAGCTTCTCTTTCTTACTCTGACCAACATCCCTCTTTTAGGAAAGTCACTTCTTTGCTTTGTGATGTTTGTTGATCTTACTCAAAATAGTCATTTTTGTCTGCTTAGGGGCTTTATATTATGAGTATTGGATGATATTATTTCTTCTCTGACGCAATTCTTTTCTTAGGTGCCTGGGATGTGTTGGTTCATTGATAATGCAACAAGCACTTGTGTTTTCACCTGAGTTCATTGATAATGCAGCAAGTACCTGTGTTTTCACCTGAGTTCTACTCAACAGTCAGGATCACCTTTCACTGATTATATGATAAATATGTGGTTATTGGGACAGTTTCCAGATTGGGACAATGAACAAGTCATGGCACTCTGGAAGTTCCCGAGTGTGTACTCTGATCCCCACGTGGAAGCATGACTTACGATGTATTTTCGAGGGTAGAATTGCCAAATGGCCCTCTGTCATTAGCTTTACTATATAATGCCCCATCCTCCCACATGGTGACCGCGCCAATTCATACTCACTCCCCACAGAGTAGTGTATGAGGGATCAGATGAGATAATTTTACAAAGCAAACACGGAGCCCGACATTCAGTGAGGTCTAAGAGATTGGGTTACTGTCATTGGTACTATTAAGGTCTGGGCTATTATTATGTGCTATTTGCATGATTGTATCGGTTTCCCAAATGATACCCCTTGCCTGGAGAACTTTTTCTGGTTTAATACAAGTTATTTCATCAAGGATGACTGAAACCTCACCATCCTCTGACTTGATATCAATGATAGTTGTTTCCCCCTGAGATAGAACAGATACTTTGGCTTGGCATTCATGGCCTTGGTGATCCACCTTCTCCCATGCATTTCTTGTCCATATCCGTGGTCTGGCCTGCAGCACACCAGTCAGACCAGAGCAAAGAAGCCACTTGCAGTGGCCCCCTATTTTGACGAAGGAGCCTGTTTTAATAATCCAGTGAGAAGATGGTTTCTCAGCCAAGGAACAGAGAAGAACCTGAAGACATTCCAGTAGTTTCTGGCAGAAAAAGAGCCTGGTTAGTTAGGCCAGTGTAACCCCAGAGAAAAGAGAAAATTCCACCTTAGGGAATCCATGACACCCACCATGATTTCAGTTTCAATTTAACTGAACATGGAAGTTTGACAGCACCGTTTGGTTACCTAGCCCCAAGACGGTCAATACAGACTCTGTTCATACTGACAAACTGAAGGCACTATGCTTGGAAGGATTTTGAGGCCAGGTCCAGGCTCAGAGGGACCACTGTTGTTACCAGCTAGCACCCGTTAGTCGTGTGGGAGTAAGAGGAATTATTTGCTACATTAGTTTGGACCACTACTTAGGAAACTCTTGCTAAACTTCTCTTGGCTTCTCTAAGCACTCACTCCACAGCCCACACGCAGAGCGGTTTGGGTTGGACATGTATCCCTTGTTCTGCCAGCCTTGAGTTCTTAGGAACCTCACCCTCTTGAATCTAAACTCCTTGGTTTATTTGGTGGCAGCTTCTTCATTTGACTTCCTCGTTTTTTTTTTTTGTTTGTTTTGTTTTTTTTTTAATTTTTTCTGAAGACACTTCCAGATTTAGATCTTGCTTGGTTCCTCTGAAGCAAAATCACTAGAAAGTTGTCTTTTTTTTTCCCCTTTGCTTCCGTGTCTTTTAATCATTTATCCTGCAACTCTCATCTTATCAGAAGGCTGCTGATGGTAGTTACATGAACTCAAATAGCAAATCATTCTTGCTTTTCAGATTTTATTTGTATCTATGTTTTGATCTTATATATGTATATATATGTGCACCGCATATATGCTCTCATGCCCATGGGAGTCAGAAAAGGGCATCAGATCTCCTGGAATGTGAGTTACAGGGAGTTGTGAGCTGCCATGTGGGTGCCGGGAATTGAACCCAGGTCCTTTGAAAGAGCACCCAGTACACTTAACCACTGAGCCATCTCTCTAGCCCAGACAAATCACATTCTTAATAAGGGCACTGGTATATCAGCAGTGAGTTTTCCATTTGTTTCTACTTCAGAGCCCCTACACATTTGAGCTTCTTCACTAACAAGACAATTTCAACACCATCTTTGAGTACATTCACAGGGCACCACATGGCCACGCTACTCAGCACTAGGAATGGTGAGCTGGAGAGTCTCAGGCCACACTCTCGTTGCCAAGGGTTCTTGACTCCCCCGAGTCCTGTGGGCTTAGTCACCGGATAGTCATATCATGAATTGCGATTCCAAGACCTCCATCATCGACTTTGACTCTCTCAGATCAGATCCTCCCAAAGGGGAGATGGTGTTACTCACTGAACTGCGATAAGAGCTGGCAAAGATATGAGAAGATGGGCAGGAGGAGAGACTCCATCTCAGAGTCAGCAGGCGGATGACAAGGTTCTAACGGGGGGGGGGGGGGGGGACCAGAATGGGCAACAGCCTGCGTGCAGAGCAGTCTTTACTGGCGGCACCAAGGCTTACTCAGTGGACTGTTTTCGGGGAGAAGGTGGTACCTCATGTGTTTTTTTAATCATTGTACTTGAGTGTGCTATTAGATCTACAGACACGTGAAAACATGCAGGAAGTCTTGGGCCTTGAGATGCTTACTATGTGTGTGTTTCCAGGGGGAGGATTTGATAAGTTCCTTTGTGAAGATTTTTGTCAACTCAAAGTGCTTGTTCTGGGAGATCCAAAGAAAGGTGTCTCCTCCTCACATATCCCCCTACCCCACCCCAGACCACCAACCCCCTCCTGGGGTGTGTGGACAATCGGAATGTCCTAATGTAGGAAGTGGTTGGAGAGGTGGCTTCCCTTACTTTATTCCCTCATTCCAAGGCAGCCCCATTGGGGTTGTGGCAAGGTGGGGTGCTGCACGGTTCCTCTTCTTGGTGTCCAGAGCTGTTCTGGAAGTAACCCGGACTTCCCTTTCGGAGTGACTGGTTCTTCACCAGTTGTCTGCCCGCTTGCTTGTTGTTGGAAATGCTCTGTAGCATGCTCCCATGGCAGAACCGGCAATGGGTACCACGTCAGGGCCTCTTGACAGACACCAACACTGATATTAGGCGCCCTGGGATGCGTGGAGTGAGGCCTGTCTTATTACTGGTCTGGTGGAGCCAGCACAGTTGGTTTCTGGGTAGAGGGGTCAATTTATTGTTTTTACCATTTTCACCAGGAGTCCCTCTGCTTAACGCTGAGGATCTGGAGAAGCAGAATGGTAGAACTGTAATCTAGAATCTCCTGGGGAAACCCCGGGGGACATTCCAGATATGGTCAGAGTGTACCCCGCATAGGCACCTGGACCCATGTGTTCTGAGACAGTTCCCATGAGTCTGGAGTCCTGTTGCTCCTGTGTTCATACCTAAGACTTCCTGGTTTTTAGCGAGTTCATTTGTTCCCAGACTCCACAGCCCACACTGAAATTACCCAACTCCCATACTCACAAGGAAACTCGGAGATGCATGCACCCAGTGTCCTCATGTTTCCCACCTGGCTTTGGTGTAGAGGATAGCACTAACCTCCTGCCATTGGCTTTTCCCTGTCGTGTTTGCAGCTCCAGACTTCCGGGCTTACCTCATAGGCGGGCTCATGGCGTTCCTGCTTTTGGTCGTGTCTCTCCTGGGCGTCTACAGCAGTTTTAAGATTGACATCGTGCTTTGGTATAGAAGCACCTTCTACACTGCCCAACCCCCAGAGGGTGAGTATATGTGGTCTTTGAGAAAATAAAATGCCTCCAAATCGCTGCCCGCTCTTCTCATGAAGTGAGTCTGTCTTCTGGCTGGAAAGTTTAGAGTGCAGCGTCTCAGGAGAACGTAGTATGCTTCAGAGAAATGGTTTGTGCGTGATGATCAGCCGTCTTTGCAGAACAAGTGAGGAGGCGGGTAGGTCCCTGGAAACAGCTGCTAGGAAGCAGCAGCAAGTGGCAGTGGACCATGCTGGTCCTTGATGTCCAGGTGTGAGAAGGGGTCCCATTTTCTGGGCCTGTGAAGTAAGGAAATGTTTGCAAAGAAAAAAGGCTGTCTAACATGATGTGCGTTGCATCCCCAAAGCTCAGGAGAAGATAGGTAAGACGGCGTGTGTGTGTGTGTGTGGGGGGGGGGGGGGGGCGGCGATCTCTCTCTAAACCCTGTACCTGAAGTAATTTACATCTCTGAGTAAGATTAGAAAGGTATTTTCTTCTTTCTTTCAGCCACAGAAGGAGGGTCACAGAGAGGAAGGGAGGGAGGAAGAGGGGGGAGAGAATAAAGGGAAAGAAAACACCTGTCTCTGCCCTTGCTGAAGGAATCACCAGCCTGGGGCTGAAAACAGCTCTCAGCAGGAGCCTGAGGCACAGGCCCTTTCATTTGCTCCTTGGGGAGGAGACGAGGGAGGGCTAAATGCTGTCTTTCCCTGTTCTGCTCTGCCAGGAGTGGTGTCTGTGTCTTGCCACCATTTTTTTTTTTTTGACACAAAAATGTCTTCCTGTGTTCCAGAGCTGACATTTCTCTCCATTCTATTTGTAAGAAAATGTAATGATTATTATTATTATTTCTGTCTCAGAATGAACGTGATCTACTTGGGGCCCTGTAAAATACAAACCAATCTGCATTGATGTCCGCTATTTGCCTATATACATTAATAAAAATGAAAAAGAAATCTGCACAAGCATGGAGAGGAATAAATCTAGACCTTTCCAGGCGAGGCATTTTTCTTGAACAGGAGCAAGAGTGGGGGAACTCAGAACCTAGACACATTCATGAGTGGAGACTCTATGAAAATACCATTTATTCTCAGCAGCTGCTCATGCATCAAAGCTGCCCCACAAGTTATGGTCTACATGTCTGAAAAAACACATAATTCAAGCTGTATTTGACTAAGTGTCAGGATTCAAAATTGGTAACGCAGAGCCTGGTGGTGATGATGAGATGTGGCCATAACCATTGCCTGGCCAGCCCAATCCAATTTGAGGCGCTCGAGGCCCTGTGGAGCTTCAGGCTAAGCATGGTTAGTTAGCAAAGAAGCCCTCTTGACTCTGCCCTGGCCACTGTCCCTCTACCCTGTGAGGAGAGGGCTCAGCACCACACGCCTTCTTCTTCCGACACAGATAGGAGTGACTTGCTTTCTGGGTTTACTCAGAGAGTCTGACATTATTCCATGTGGTCTTTCTGGAACCTCCGGCCCCTCTGGCCCCTTGGCATTTGTGCCTCTGACTCACGGCAACTCCCAGGAGTGTGACTATTGTCTTGACTTATGGATGGCAGAGAGCAGGGTAGAGCAGCCTGCTAGAGACGTCGAGTTTGTCAGAGGGAAGGATGACTCACGACAGCAGAGCAGGGGAGCCCAGCAGATGACACATCAGGACCTCACCCTCCCCGAGATCAGCGTAGCCCAGACTGCACAGCCAGGGGGTGGCAGCTTTGGATACTGGAGCTGATAGCCAGGTTTTCGTTGCTGTTATTTTTAAATTCTGAAGTGTGTGCTTCGATATCCCCATATCTCCATCTGTTTAAACTACCAAGTATTAAAACTTTGAACAAGGGCTCTAAAAGGAGCCAACGATGAGCCTCTGAGGTTGATCCTGAATCCTGCTCAGAGCTTTGACTCTCTTGACAGAATTTTCTGGAACTTATTCAGTATAGGAAATACGGATGTAAAAGAGAGAGAAAATGTCCTTCTTGGCAAAGTTTACTGGAACCGGTTAGTGAGGCTTTGCCGTGAGTAGGTCAAGGTAATTGACCTACAATTTACACTATGACAGCTGTCCACAGACCTGACAGAAGACTGGGAGCTCTGCCTTTCTTTGCTGTCATGGGTGCTTTCAGAACTGGCCTGTTAGGTGTGCCGGTGTCTGCAAGACGGGAAAGGTCAGTGACAGGTCGTTTGACAGATATGTCTGCTTTGGTTCCATCCAGACCGATGGGCAGTGTGCACATGGAATGGAGCAGGTAGAATCAACCCAGCAGGTGCACAAGAAAGCCAAGGGCAGAAAGACAAGCGAAACAAGCTGCAGAGTTGAGGAGAGGTCTTGGGCTCTAATGGTGAATCTGCTTTCGTACCTAAAGCCAAGTCAGTTAATTCTGGCTTTCCCCACAAATGTTTCTGTGGTTCATGAAATAAGATAGATCATTCTGGGACTCATCTCCAAAGACTTCCTGGAGAGTCCTCATTTATAGTCGCTAGCGTCGTATAAGGAACCTGGCTTTCCGTATTCCCAAAGTAAATATGATTACGTGTTTTATGTGGCTTTTCTTCTAGTGTCCTCTATACATGCCGGGAGTAGAAACACCAGTCAGTCCTGAGGCTACTCGGTAGAGAACCTTACATAGAGTATCTTTTAAAATTCTAATTTCATTCATCAACCCTGCTGATCTTATCGCTGCTCTGAGTTTGTCAGGCATAAAATTTGGCAATGTTGAATTGAGAGAACAGAACTGAAGAAACATTAGGTAATTTTTAAACAGTGATCAGCCTATGAAGATGATCTCGTTTGGGCTTTACAACAGCCCATAGAGGCTGTACAAATGTTTTACCTGAAGGAATGATGAAATAGCCTCAGAAAATACAAGAGCTTGGCCAGGACAGAAATACATTGGCACCCCCACTTCCGAGAGAGGTGGGTATTGGGAACAGCAACCAGTACAACGGAGTCTCCTCAGAACAGCCACCTGAAATTCTAGAAAATTCTAGGAGGTAACCAGCAGGATCATCTGCTGCTCTCTGTTGCTTGCTTCCTCATGCACTGCTGCTCCTGTGACTACATTTGGGAAACAAGTCGCCTTGGAACTTCACTGTGCACAACAGCCATCCCTCGTGCTTGTGTGTGTTGTGAGCTGTGCAGATGTTCGCGGGGGGTGGGTCTGAGGCCTCAGCTGGATGACTGGCAGCCACCCTTTCCTCAGTGCCTTCCCACAAGGGCATCTCTTGTCAGTGTCTCACAGAGGTGGGCTTCCTTGAAGTACAATGTTGGTTGTCTGGAGATAGGCCAAAGCTTTGTTTGCTTGTGTTTTCTGGAGCTGAGGGGGTTTTGGTTTTTGTTTTTGGCGTCAGGTCCATTGTATACAGCTTCGGAAAACCACACAATTCTACAGGAGTGGAATTACACATTACTTCTTTGTGAGAGATGGCTTACTTCTTGGAAACACACGCACACACACACACACACACCCAGAAGTGTTTCTGTCTTTGGCGAATACATTTGCTATGGGGCTGGATAGGGCGAGGCATGGAGAAATCTGCCCTTGGTTTTCTGATTCAGAATCTTGTTTGGCTACATCAGGGGAAATGAGCAGCTTGGGCCTAGAAAATTCTGTGCACCTTTGAGAAATCATGCAGCCGTGTTGATCCCAGCTTCCTGCTCAGAATTGTAGGATTCAAGTGTATCTCTCACAGCTAGCCAGGAAGTGCCTGATGTTGCTATCTGATCCTGTCTTTTAAACATCAGAGGATGTTTGTAGAGATGTGCATAGGGGCTGTAGAGATGGCTCAGTGATCAACAGTGGTGACATCTCTTCCAGAAGGCCCTGGTTTGATTCCCTGAACCCACACTCGAGGGGACAACTGTCTATTGTTTTCAGTTTCAGGGGTCTGATGCCCTCTTCTGGCCTCCTTGGGCACTGCATGCACATGTCAAACAGGTCAACTGCCCCACGCACATGAAATAAAATAATAATAGTTATTAGAAATCGGAGGGTTGTAACAAAACAACCCAGATGTGGATTCCAGGTGGGTCTCTGAGGGTGGTGAAAGCCCAGTACATGTGGAGAACAAGTCTATAATCTTACCTTTGCTCCAGATCTTGCTCTGAGGGTTAACGATACAGCTAGCTCACGGGTTAAGCACATTCACCACCTTGGGTTTGGTTTCCAGCATGCTTAGGAAAAAAGACATGATAATTGGGGGCTTGCTTTGTTTTGGGTTTTCAAAACACATGAGACTTTGTGCCACCAGATCCCTCTCCATCTGTTCCGAGTATGGCGAGCTGGAGACCAAGGAGAACTTATGTCCTCTGATGCCTTGTTTCCAAAGAGAACAGGATTCTGCCACAAGAGAAAACATCTGGCCAATACAGTTCCTTTTGTTTGCTATTTAAGGGAAGCCAGTGGAAGGAGAATAAGAAACTATTAGGAGATGCCAGGGGCTGTGCCGGAATTGGGGGTGATAAATTTGGGTACCAACCTGGGAACTGCATTTTCCAAGGAGGATGCTTCCTGCTATACATGGGGCATCAAGAAACCAACAGCTCCCAAGGGATGCAAGTCTAAACCCGTCTAAATCCTTACATGGGAAGGTTCGGTTCCTTCTTAAACAGACAAGAAATAAGAACTTATGAGATCCCTGTTTTTCTCTTTTTTTTTTCACCCTCAAACAAACAACACCCAAACCTTGAACTTTGGCAAGTCATATAGTTAGCATTAAATTTTATACAGAAAAAGTTATCTGTTTCCTGCAGTTATATCTGGTGACCTTGAGCATGTCATAGGAGCCTTGGCTGTGTTGGGTTTGATTGTCTCCAAACACAAATCAGTCCCCTAGCACCTGCCTATGATCCCAAAGCTGAATCTGCTTGTGGCCTAGACCCTCCTTAGACCTGACTTTGGTTTCCACTGTCGAGTTCCCTGAAGATGTTTCGTTAGTACTGATGGAGGTCTCCGCTGTAGAAGACCCCAATAGCTCTCTCTACAGCAGCCTCCTTGCATGGCAGTGGACAGGGAAGCGGAAACATCTGTGCTGGATTCTTGCTAATCTTCTGCTCTTAGATCCTCATTTCCCATCCTGCCCCATCTCTCCCCACTGTTTCACACCCAGCAGCTGTTCTATACCCTCTATCAATATTGTCTATCAAGAATTCTAGTCATTGAGAATTTTTTTTGTTTGTGTGTTCCTTTGGCTGTTGTCATCTTAAATGTCACATACCATCTTATCTTGTTTGTGAGGGGTGCGCAGAGTCAAGTGGTGTGTCTTGTTCACATTTACCCTGGTGAGCACAGTGATGGGTCTTGTAGCTGCCCAGGAAACCCTTGTCCACGATGGACATGTTGCCCACATGTGCTGTAGTGATGGACTCCTCGGTGATACAGGGCACATTTGGAGTCTGCTGAGGCTTCTTCTGTCTATGACGAATTTTCTGGTGTGCTCAGTTAGGAGGGACCCAACCCATTTGGCTTGGGATCATCAGTACAGGTCTCCATTGCCCATATCTCCTATTAATGGGTCCCAGACCCCGAGGTCTCATTTTCAGCCCCACCACAGGCAGTGGGAGACTTATGATGCAATTAGCAAATGCAGAAATGGTACCACCTGTTCGGGCTAGATTTTATTCTCCTTTAGTGAGGATGAGACAGGTCTCTCATGGGTCAGTTGTAAGAGTGCAGTGTGGTAGCGTGGAATGCCAAGACATGGGCCACACAAAGGTCATTGAACCCAGGCTGAAGTGTATCACAGCAGTGATCTGGCGTTCACTTTGCTTACTTGAGAGATCTGCTACAGTCATTCCGTGAGCTCGCTTCTTCTTCCTTTCAGATGAGAAGCTGTATGACGCCTATGTCTTATATCCCAAGTGCCCAACAGAGAGCCAGGGCCGTGATGTGGACACAATGGCGTTGAGGATCCTGCCTGAGGTGCTGGAGAAGCAGTGTGGATATAAGCTATTTATATTCGGCAGGGATGAAGTCCCTGGACAAGGTATGTTTTCATTAGACAACAAACGACAAAAATAAGTGGACACACTTGTGATCCCAGCACTAGGGAGGCTGAGCCAAGACGAATGCAATACAGGGCCAGTTGGGGCTGTATGTAGAGACCCCATCTCAAACAAAAGAAACTTCTTTCTTTTCCTTTCCCATTCCTTCCTCTTCCTACCTCTCATGTTACAAATGTCCCTTGAACACATGGGGCTTTCAAAAGTCTATGTATAGAGCCTCCTAGTCCCACTACCACTTACATTTAGAAGTCAGGCCTTTGCTTTATTAGGTATAGTGCTACAACAGAATGTTAGGGAATCCTGGTTTCAGTCATATGAGTCTCTTTGGCCCAGAGATACAGTTCATCCATTTATAGGAACAAGCAGCAGTCTTGGTCAAAGCTGGAAAAAGTCACGTGGTCATTCACTTTGCTGTCACCGAGAATAACTGTGGTCTAGTTTCTCATTAGTCCAAAAATGCAAATACCGTGATGTTTAAAGTTGATTTTTGCACCAGACCTTTTCTTTTGGGCCTCCAACCAGCTCCCAAATCATGACACGGAGACTTCTTATTAGTTATGAATGCTCGACTTTATCTTATCCTTATCCCACTAGCTCTTATAACTTAACCTGTTTCTCTTCATCTACATTTTGCATCAGGGCTTTTTGTTTTTTTTACCTTCCTTTCTTTACTTCTGTATGTCTTATTTTCCGGCTGTTTCCTTACTGTTGGTCCTGCTGTCTCCATGTCTCCTGACTGCTGCCTGGCTTCTGACCTCAGGCTTGTCCCTAGCTCTCTCCCTTTCTCTTCTTCTCTTTGCTCTTCCTCTTTACTCTCTTTGCCTGCCAGCCCCTTCTGTTCCTCCTCTGCCTAGCTATTGGCTGTTCAGGATTTTATTTAACCAATCAAGTGCCTTAGGCAGGCAAGGTAAAACACAACGCATCTGTACATTGTTAAACAAATGAAACATAAAGAAATGTAACACGTCTTTACATTGTTAAACAAATGCAGCATAGACAAATGTAACACGTCCTTATACAGTTAAAGTAATATTCTGTAGCATAAACAATGTAACACATTTTTACCTAGTTAAAATAACATTCCACAGAAGATTTTATACACCATAAGTTATGCCATCTTTCCCCCTGTATAAGATACTTTCCTGTTGCTGCAATAAAACACCCCGCTAGATAGTCTTGGGGCAAGAGACATACCAAGAGATAACAGAACAGAATGTAACCACCAAATGAAGCCCTGCCCAGAACAGTTGGTAATGAAAGTTAATCCACCTGTGCCTCAGTCTTGCCTACTTGAAAGTCTTTTTTCCCTGTGCTTGCTCATTTCTCCTATTTCCAGTAGCGTTATAGCCTTGCTGTTTTCTTGCATGGTCTTCTGAATCCTTCTTCTCTATTCCAGCTGTGGCCAACGTCATTGATGAAAACATTAAACTTTGTAGGAGACTGATTGTGCTTGTGGCCCCAGAATCTTCCAGCTTCGGCTTTCTAAAGGGCTTGTCAGAAGAGCAAATCGCTGTCTACAATGCCCTCATCCAGGATGGCATGAAGGTCATCCTGATCGAACTGGAGAAGATCAAGGACTACAGCACCATGCCTGAGTCCATTCAGTACATCCGACAGAAGCATGGGGCCATCCGGTGGCACGGGGACTTTACAGAGCGGTCACAGTGTGCCAAGACCAAGTTCTGGAAGAAAGTAAGATACCATATGCCATGCAGAAGGTATCCACCATCTTCCTCAGTCCAGCTGCTGAGGCACACGCCCTGCAACTGCACAGCAGCCAAATGGGATGCTGCCACTGGGCTTATAAGTTCCTGAGTGAGAGTAGTTGGTGTGTGTTGGATCACAGTGACATCCTCTTTGGGTTGTCTACCCATGCAGCTTGCTCTTTTGTGTTGTGAGTGACCTTGTTGTTGTTGTTGTTGTTTGATGCTTTTAATTAGACCAGTTTCTTTAGTACTCCTGTTTGCACCACAGCTCCTGAACACCCATATAAGCTCCTGAGAATGGGGTACCTATGGAACTCAGCCTCCATGCCTGTGGGATACAGTGGATGGTCAGGATGACAGAGCAGGTGGCAAGGATGCTTGGTCCATGTTTGGGATGGGAGACTGAGAAGTCTGAGGATGCCAAGTGGGCAGCCTTGGGGAAGGCCAGCAAGGACGGTAGCACAATATCTATGCTTGTCTGTATCTAGTAGGCTTTGGGCCCCTGGCAGTGTAGATTGTATCTGAATTTCCTTCTCTCTCCCACTGCAGTTAGATAACGATGCAGTTAGCACGATACCCCCAGGAACCACTTAAATATCACCCGGACCAAAGGACTCCAAGCTTTGAAAGATAATCTGTCAAAATGAAATAAGAAAAAAACTTTCACTTTTTAAAGATGCTTTGTCTGCCAGAAATCTGCAGAATATTTGAGATATATGAATTACAGCTCCGAGGTGATGTGGTTCTAACCCCAGTAAATCTCTGTGAGCTTTGGGTTAGTGAGTGCGCCCTTTATCACGGGCAGTATATGAATGCATAGTTTATCCAGTGTTTTGATGCTAAACAGAGCTGTCAACCACAGCTACTATTTCTCAAGGCCCAGCTGGGAAAAATCAACTCCAGACCAACTCTACCAAGCTGTGATTAACACGCGTGCTACTGCTTGGGGAATCGTGAACAAATGTCTATTTACCTCAGATAAGTAGGGTGTTGGACACAAATCATGAAAACAATTCCACAGAAGTCTAGATTAATGGAGTAGTCATTTTCTTGGGGTTTCTTGAAGGACTGAGGGTGAGGAGTGAGTTCCAAGAGCATGGGCGACTCGAAGACAACTACATATTTAAAAAAGCCTGCCGAGCGTGGAGCATGGTGAGAGCGTAAGACAGCTGAATCCCCAGAGCTCTGTGAAGCGTTCATAACAGCCTCCGTGTCTCTCCTAGCAGCTCTTTCTGCTTCTATAGCCACAAAGCACAGGCTTGTAACTCTTTCTGGCATTCCTGAGGACTGAGGAACCTACACAGAAAAGAAGTTGCAGAAGTTTGGGGGAGATAACTACATAATGGAAACACTGGGGATTAATAAGTGAGCCTTGATGAGGAGGGAGTGGGAGGGGCCACCAGGCCACAGGCAGGATGGAAAGGCCTGGGAGGAGAGGGAGAAGGAGGAAGAGCTGGTAGAGTGGAAGGCTTCATGGGAAGTCCATCTTTCTGCTTGAGAATTCATCAAGGCAGGCTGGCATTGTGGCAACCATATCTTTACTTGAGACTTGAAACTGGACCTCACTTTAATACTTTTTATTAAAAAAAATTAACTATGGTAAGATAGAACACTAGTCATTTTTAAGTCGAATTGTTATGCAAGGCCATTAAGTATTTTCACGTTGACACGACCATCATCGCCATCCTCTGAGACGTTTTCATCCTAGCAGACGGAAACTCTGTTCTCAGTGAATCACTTCTCTCTATTCCCGTCCTCCCTGGCCCCTGGAAATCACCATTCCACCTCCCATCCCTGTGAATCTGACTATTCTAGGAACTTCCACTAAGAAACCTCATTTGGTATTTCTCATTTTGTGGCTGACTTCTTCCATGTACCACAGTATCCTCAGGTGCCCTCAAGGTTTGTCCGTGAGATCCACCTTTCGATTCACCATCACCGCTAGTCTGTCTGTCTCTTCTTTTTCTTCCTCCTTCCTCAAAGGCACAGGGAGCCAGATGCTTTTGAATGCCCCGGAGTGAGGAGCTCATCAAGGCACCTGCCTGTGACATTTTGTTTTTCAGCTTATCTTTGCCCCACAGGAATCTAACTCCCTGTAGAGGATTTGCGGGTTCAAGTACAGTTAGGTATTTGTTGCTTCCAAGGGATGTCCCTGACTGGTTCTTCACTCTGTCTTCCTCCCCCTCCATGGGTCTGTACTTCTGGTTTGTTGAAATAAGGAGCAGTGGGCTGCGTCCCCAGCACCCCAGCCGCCCGCAAGGCTAGCTTATGCCCGAAATAACAACACACAAACTGTATTCATTTAAACACTGCTTGGCCCATTCTCTTCTAGAATGGCGCGGGACATGGCGTCTCTCTCAGGCGTCTGCTCCCGAGAGGAGAGCTGTCGAGACTGAACTCACTTCCTCTTCCTCCCAGCGTTCTGTTCTGTTTATTCCTCCCACCTATCCTCTAACCAATAAAATGGGCCAAGGCAGTTCCTTTATTAGCCAATGACCTTCCTCCATCACTGGTTGGTTCCTGGAAATTTCCAGCAATACTGGCGGAACCCAGGGATGGGGCTGACTAATGGGGCAGCCATTTCTTGTGTGGAGTCCAGGACACAGTGCCTGCCTAGTGGGTTCCAGGCACACCAGGTGGTGACATCTGCCAGTATGATTCCCAGGCTCCTTTTTAAGGTGAATGATCAACCACCAGTCCTTTGGTGAGGACATGGGGGATATCTAGATTTGAACTCTTACTTCCTTGGTTATCTCTCTCTGAAAGACTCAGGGAGACAGTAGCTGATGCCCTGTCAGGATCAGGGCAGACAAACCAAACGACCTCATCAGAAGAAACTGTTTTCTGAAAATCCCTGACTTCTGTGAGGCCAACTGTGCTGAAATTTTTAACCTGAATTTTTTTTTTTTACAGTCATGAAGCTTTCCTCTCGCCTTCATGTCCTAATTTTCCTTTTGCTTAAAATTAAAAAAGATGTATTATGAATGCTAAAATGTGAACTATTATATCAACACACTGATATTTTTATTAAAGAATATTTTAATAAAACACAAGGGCTCCTTTGCTCGAAGGAATTACCACCTCATATGTTTGAACACCCGACACATGCTCTGGAGTTGAATGCATTCTTGTTTGTAGGCCATTGCTCTGATGCGGGATTTGTGAAAGCACAGACCCGTATTTTAAAGATGGACGAGGTTCACTCTACAGCAGGAAGCTCCGTTCTCTTTGACAGTGACTCCCCTTTGATAATCTGATAAATAGACCATCTTGACTCTACTTACAGAAGGGTGTTGGCTTCTTACAGACTTTCAGTGAGATTTACAGTAGGCCCATGGGATCCACACCCCAAACTGTCTATTGTTACTGTACTTATAAAACAGGTAATGGCACAATTTTTACAGAATTCTGGGTGACAGACCAGTGTTCAGGAAGTGAGTCATTTGGAGTTTTCTTAGGAATTAATTGGAAAAGAGCGGCCTCGAAGTTCAATCATATTTAATGAGTCATCTAGCCTAGAGATGTCCAACTAGCGTGTCACAAATGAGTTCCAAGACTCCTGGGGTACAGCATCCCCCATTATCTGCAGAGGAGCTGGTCCAAGAACCCCAGTGGGTGCTCCAAACTGGATAGTGCTGAACTCAGTATATGATACATTTTTCATGCACATATAAACATTTATATATTTAATGTGTTTAATATATAAATATATGTTTAAGGTATACTTTAGAAACATAATAGTAAGAACAAAATCAAACATTTTTAGCAACATAGCCTGTCATAAAATATATGTGAGCGTGGACTCTCTCTGTCTTCGTCAAACACCTCATACGGAAGGCACCTGTCACTCTGTGCGAAGTGATGCTACCATCCTCAGTTGACTGAGCAGCTAAACCTTAGAACAGGAGACCACAGATGAAGATGGCTATTGTAGTACCTCCTGGTATGGTCAGAATCTTGGCCTCATCTGTTCGCACCCATGACTGTGTTTGCCAGGCAGGAGAAAGATAAGGCTACACACCCTCTGTTCCAGCTGTTTTAATTTATCATAGAAGAAACTGAGGCCCAGAGAAGTGAAGTGAGTGATTGGGGACCCCCGGGACTCTGCAGCAGAGAACCATTGGCTGGTTTAGGTCCCTCAGAAGGTATGCCAAACCTCTCGGCCCCATGACCATGGCTGCTGGTAGGAATTCTGCAGATCTCTGAGAGTGATGGGGCCTCCCTTGACCTCTGGACTTGACACAGAGACTAAGGTGGTGGAAAAAAAAAATCAATGGTCAACAAAAGTCAACCTGAAACCGTGACTCTCAAGTCCGTTACTTTATATAGATGAGAAGCAAAGACAATGATATTGGAGAGTGAGCAAGAAGGAGTCGTTTTCCTGAGAAGAGGGTGGAAGAGATGGAGGCTTCAAGAGTGAGAAGGGTCCCGAGGGAGCTGCCATCAAGCTTCTTGCCCAAGAACTCATGTCAGAAGCTGGGCAATGATTGATGTATTGTCTATTAAGATTCGTTGATTCTCTGAGTGTATCATAAGCGGACCCAATGGGAAATGGGAGGCCTGCATATTCTTTGCATGTTCCCTTGACCTAAGCAGGAAGATGACCACACGCTGTTTGCCCTATCAGGGACGAATCCTATGTCTTGCTCACCCTTATCCATTCTTTCTTGATCTTGGCGGGGATAGCTAGCCCTTGCTCTTGCCTAGGTGTTCTAGATGTTAATTAAATCATGCTTTCTCTGTTCTCACCTTTCCATGACCAGCTGGTAGCTGACCAGGACCACTGCCTGTTCTGGACGTTGGGAATTAACAACTAACCCCTATCACAGTTACCGAGATAACTACCATCTTCCTTGGGCGCCTCATCCACAGGGTAATCTGCTCTCTGTCCTAGACTAGGTGGAAGTTTTTATTCCCTCTGCTGATGCTGTGGAGACATGCTGTGTATGTTCCTCATGGGGGCTCAGTGAGGGTCCGCCAGAGCCTGCCAGGACTGACTTTGTTGTCTTGCCTACAGCCTTGTTCTTTCACCTCTCTGGTCAGCATGGCTACCTCACACTCAGCTGCAAACAATCCTTATTTACCTTCCTCAGCATTGTTGGCCTTGTTGGTTAAATCTAAATACTCCTTTTAACTTCAACGCCTGCTTTTGCTGCTGCAGAACTGCACAGCTAATACCGTAAAAATCTGGGAGCCGAATTCCAGAAGCGCACAGTGCGCCTCTGATTTCCCTTCATTTGCTCACCGTTTTGGAGTTTATCGATTTTTGTTCTGTGTTGTCTTGCCCAGTGGTGGACAAACTGGTAGCACTTGAATACACATGGGATTCAGCATCTAGGTCTGAGGGTGTCCTGAATGCCTCTGTGTTTCACAAATGGATGCTTCCAGAATTCTGGGTATTTTTTAAAAGATGAATGGTGTTAATGAGTGAGCCTGTGTACCAATTATTGATCTCTTGACACAAACTTCTAGGATACATATCTGAGACAAACCTTTAACATAGGGCATGAAGTCAACTGAGGTTCACCCTATTGCCTAGGGCACTGCTTCCTCCTGGCATCCTTCAGACCCAGGGTTTGTGTGCCTGGTGGTGTGGAGAACAAGGGAGTCTTCAGGGTCAACCCCACCACCTTTGTGTACCTGGGTAGGGGAGGGAGAGGGGAAAGAGAGGGAGGGGGCAAGGGCTGCCAAGATTCTGATCAGCATCCCTGTGTGAAGGGGAGCATGCTCATTCCTGCATACAAGGCCAGTGGGACCTGGTGCAGATCTACAGGGCGTCAGAGGAAAGGCCTGTGACAGGGCAATCTGTGCTGCTGTGTCCAGAGCTGACCTGGAGGCGGGGCCGAGAGAGACAGCATCTCAGAGAGAAGGTGAAACACAGGTGCTGAGCCCCTGGGTCAAGGTGAAACACAGGTGCTGAGCCCCTGGGTCACCCTGCCGTGACTAAGTCAGTCATAAATAAACCCCACTTTCTTGTGGTCTCTTCACCACGGTTTGTTGGTGATAAGAGCCTGAGAGTGGTAGGCCGGTGTGGTACGATCTTTACCCAGAAGACCGATTGGATTAAAAAATACAGATTTACATATGCAAGCTGAGTGTGACAGTGTGGAGTGTAATAATTCCAATGCCAGAGAGTCTGAGGCAGGGGGATTGTGAGCTCAAAGTGGTTACCTAGGAAGGCTCTGTCTTGAGAAGGCAAACGATAGACAAACAGAAGCTACTTACTTGAGAGCTCTAGGCTGACCCCATGCGACCCTGGGGAGATCTCTAGGTGGGGGCTGCATCTGAGTTTCTGCTCCCCATGTGCTGGGCCCTGCCGTGACTCAGATGGCTTTCTGCATTGTCACGGGTGACTGACCTTTCCCCAGGTCCGGGCCCTGCTTTCCATTTATAAACTTTCCTCAAACACATGCTTGTCTGGTGAGAGAACGCAGGATGTGTTTAGACATGGAGAAAGTGGAAAATTCCTTTCTGTTCTTTGGATGACAAATACACAAAGTCTGCTCCACATCCCGGCGCTGAGTGCTGCCAAGTGTTGGGGCTCGATTAGTTTTCCTGGACCGTTGAATGTTGGAACAGTGAGTGCTGACTCCGAGCCTCACATACCCAGAATGCATCTGGGGACCCCGCTAGCTGCTTTAGTGCAAGGACTTCTAGGCCCGCTACTTATCTGTAACAGATTCCCAATTTGGGGAAAAAAAACCCAAAGCCCCAGGTTTCTCCCCCTCATCGGTCTCTCACTCAGCTGCTGATGTTTAGCTTTGCATGAGTACCTAACCACTTCATAAGAAGGGCGCCCAGAGGGTGCCCTGTTGTGGGAGTTGGACTAGGAAACAGAATTTCCCCCTCTCACCCTGAGTCGTGTGTGCAGCTCTGCCTCCAAGCATCCCAGAAAAGGACCCTGCATCTCATTCTCTAGGTCAGGCTCAGATGTGCGGTTGCCCACTTGTTCCACCACACCTTGTGTTACTTTTCTAAGCTAGCAAGACAGTGTGGAGGTGCAGAAGCCAGACTCCAAGTTTTGAGCTAACAGACTGGCATCAACCATCATGAAAGCCCTCACAATGTTTAAATTGTGAAGAAGTGCTTGGGAAAAATACACGCTTTTATTTCGCACTCAATGTATCCGTGCAAACACGAGGCATTAAAAACGAAGTTGGCTCTGTGCTCTCTGTTCTATTTGGTTTAGGTAACTTCAACAAACTCTTGCTTTTCCGGTGTTATTTGTAACCTTTTCGTTATCTGACTGGGTGACAGTCAGCGCTCTTTCCAATGAATACAATTTCCTGCCACTGTA